AGCCGCGAGGTGGAGTGGGCGTGGTAGGGGCGGGGGCGGGAAGCCGGAGGGCGGGGTCTCAGCTCCGGTTCTGGGAGCCTGCCCGACTGTGCCCTCTAGCGTTCTCCCTGCCGCACTGCAGCCTGGACTGCCCCACCTGGCTGCCCCCAGCACAGGGTCCCGGCAGCTGTCACAGATCCCCTGGGACAGAGTGCCCCCCACACTCACCAACCCCAACCCCCACCTCAGAGAAGCTGCGCTAGAGTCAAGGCTGCAGCAGCTTGCCTCTCACCTGCTTGCTTGGAAGAAGGAAGGACACAAATGCAGTGAGTCCCTCTTCTTCCTGGGACAGGGGCTCAGCCCTAGGAGCAGCCTTGTTTCTGGGTCACCGGGAAAAAGAACCACGTCTGGTGCTACATGAGAAACACAGCACAGAGTGCCTGTTTTCCACCACCCCGTCTGCCTCTACTTCCATGGTGTACGCCACACAGAACACAGGCTCATCTCCAGTGAGCCCTGCAGCCCCTGGAAGTTCAAGTTCAGGGCAGACACCCCTCCGACCCCATTCTGAGCTTTGGTCTTTTATAGGGAGTTGGGTCCCCCTACCTCTCTCATCATCTTTTCTCCAAGTGTTTCTAAGTCTGGTTGGCCCAGCAAGCTTGGAGATCTGACTTGATGAAAACGTTTTAGAGTAATGGGATGAAATGTGGACCCAGGCCATCAGCCGGCCCCCCAGGCCATCAGCCGGCCCCGAGCTGTGATTAATGGGACATTCAAGCGGCTCCCAGCAGCCTCACTGAGCCGTTGATGGAACTATGCCATTAAAAAGGCTTTAATTTGCAGGCAATACTGACTTCGGGTTAAATATTTTCATAGAGCTCTTCAGCTACATGTTTACTTTTTCTTTTTTACAATTTAGCACATTAAACAATAGCAGAGTAACTGAGACCCTGAGAGATGGATGTAACTCCCTCCTCCATCTTTCCATTACAGTGAATTAAAATGTCATCTGCGATGCTCTCTGAAAGCTGGTGCTTGTCTGATTGAAGCCCTGCTTAATCATGAAGCTTTTTAAGCCAAGGAAGAGATGGTTCTAACTCTGAATTGATCGCCCTACCCAGCACACCTGTTCTTCACCCCATCTGTCCCTAGAGATGAAAGTAAGATTTTCTGGCAGATGCAGGTTGGGGTGTCTGCCTGACATCAGGGCTGGGGGTGGGGGTGCTATTTCTGCTGGGAAACAGGAGTGGTGGCTTTATCTTTTCAGAAAGGCTTTTTGTCAGTGTCTTTCCAGCCAGCAGATCATCAGTAAAGTTGGTTTATTGGCTTGCTTAATAACAGGGGCCACTGAATGCAGGATTCCACCATCCCCATTCCTATGAGGCCATGAGCTCAGGCTGAGAGCTAAAATGAAGTCCTTTGTACTGAATATTTCTCCTGGGCCTTTGCTAAGCCCACAGAGGCCAGCCAGCCAGTGAGGAACTGGGAGCGCTTGGGGCTTCATTCAGCATTTGTGGGCTCCATTTCATGGCTGCATGACAGTCTCAGTGCAAGCTGTCCTGGTGAGGTTTAATGGCGAGGGAGCCGAGGTGGACGCCAGCTGGGAGCACTTCGGTGGCCTTCATGACTGCCCTCCGACCTGGGCAGTGAAAGGGCCCCAGGGAGGTCACAGTCCCACCCGCCGTGGATAATGTGCGTCCCACAGGAGCTTCGGGTCTCTGTCTCTTAGACAGAGATGATGCCTCCTCCCAGCCTGACCACCTTCCCAGCCCCTGGAATCTGCCTTGTGCCTCCTAGAAGTGGCCGATGGGGGTCAGCTCCCAGTGACTTTCGAAATCCTCTTCATCATTCAAGTTTGATTCCACGTGCTGCCTAGGCCCCCCCATGGGAATGAATGATTCCTTCTTGGAGCCCCCTCTTCATGTCACTTCTGCTGCTCCATCTAATGCAGTGTGTCATAAGCAGCGAGGAGCCCTGAGAACCCAGACCTGCAGTCCTAGGCATTCAGAGGACCCAATGGACTGGAATATTCTGAGCACCCAGTCTGGCGCCAGGCCCTGAGGACGCTCCTCAGAGCAAAGACAACCGGCATTCCTCTTATGCTCCCCACTCCTCCCAGGAATATACACCTTTTAAATCGTGATAAAGTACAAATAACATAAAATGTACCATCTTGGCCATTTTTCAGTGTACAGTTCAGTAGTGGTCTCTACATTTACACTGTTGTACAACCAACTGACATAACTCTTTTTATCTAAGTTCAGCTGTGCTTTTAGGAAATTTCTAAGTACATAAGCCCCCAACTCTGGGTTTTTACCCTGTACACTGGTTGGCTACAACATCCTTGGAGTTGTCTTGAACTTTCTATAATAAAATTAATGTTACCAACTTCAAAATGGTTATGTTATATACCTGTTAATTGAGCTAACTGGGCATGGCCAAGAAATTAGACAAGAGAGGTGGAGTGCCCTATTTCAGAGCAGTGGGGGTCTCCATAAAGGAAACTGGAAAATCAATGAAATATTCCTACTACATCGTTCTCAAAAGTGTGGTCTCCCATCAGACATGATTGACAGCTCCAGATTTTATTAACTCAACCTTCAAGACAATGGCACAAAAACATGTTTTTCCATTCATGATTTCTTCATAGATTTCCCCAAAGTAAAACTTATCTTTTTTGTTTCCTGGGCATATCACTCAGTGTCCCCCAGCCTTGTTTTCTTCCCTGTTCAGCTGAGAATGCCGGGCCTGCTGTGCCCGCCTGCCAGCATTCAGGGTCGATTATAAAGGTCTGTGATCAAGCTCAAGACGGGCTAGTGTTCACATCGCAGTTCCACTAGCTGTGGGGCCCTGCTTGGCCAGTTGCTTCCCACCACCATGTCTCAGTTGTACCATTTGTAAAATGATTTTTACATCTGCCTTTGTTTTTGTGTAGAAATTACAGTGGCCATTTTTTAAAAAATCTTAACTGGGTTTCCAAAGGTACCAAAGTTGAATTAGCTGCATGTTAACATCAGGGCTTTTTTGGGCCTCCCAGATCATGCTAGCAGGCCTGTGCCACCCCAAGTGCCAGGGTGGGTCAGAGAGCTGGGTAGAGAGGCCAGCGCGGGTTCCCGTTCTGTATACTGTGGACTGGATCTCATGTGATGCATCAAGTCCTCCATGGAATAGGGGCCATGTTTATTCTTGTTCTGGGACAAACTGCATTTGGAGAGAGAGCCTCATGGCAGTACATTCACAGCTGGGCTTGGATGGTTGGATGGGCCAGGGGCACTTCCCAGCACTGGCCCTGCCCTTGACTTCACCCCTCCCCCAGGAAACCAGCAACCAAGTTAGGTCGAGATTTGCTGGTTTCCACTTTTTAGGACATTCTAGGTTTAGGGATTGTAAACCCTGACAATGTAGAGATAGTGGTTCCCATGACAGAAGCTGATGTGGATGGATGGAAAGGGGAATTAATAGCCTGTTATTACAGAGGCACTCTATGTCAACTTGCTGGATCAAGAAATGGAGGCTTGGTTATTTTTTGTGTGTTTATTTTTTGAATAGAAGTTACACAGAGTTTGACATTTTTACATTGCAAAGGATTTACCGTAGAAATTCCCATTTGACCCTTGTCCATCAGCCATCTCTCTCTCTTTAGCCAGTTATCATTTCCTAATAAATTCTTCCAGGCACATAAGCACTCATGCATACATCGTTTCCTCTATTTTTCACAAATGGTAGCAAACTCTGTATGCTTTTGTGCATCTTCCCTTGTCAGTTAAAAATACATCTTGAAGATTATTTCTCATCAGTAGGTAACGGCGGGTGCCTGGGTGTTCATTATTCCAGACAACCACCGGGGAAGCAGGATGCACACGGGTTGTTTACACAGGTGGGAGTGTCTTCAAATAGATCCTAGAAGTGGGATCCTGGGTCAGAGTGAATGTGTGTTTGTAATTTTGAAAGATACTGCTGAACTCCCCTACACAGAGGTTAAAAGGGAACTTTATAATTTAAAGTCATAAAGATAACAAGAACAATGGTATATATGTATAAAACTAATAAGACCTGGAAAGGCAGGAAGGGTAAGTGCCAGGAGACGAGGTGAACTACATTTATTCTCTTTCCTAATGGGGGTTCAGTACATGCTGTTTAGAGTTCATAAATGGGGAAACAGTTCAGAGTGGTTCCCTCTGGGACTAGGGTGGGAAGCATTTTATTGTCTGTTCTGTGTGCTTCGAAAATTACTAAGCCATGTTCACGTGTTGCTGTTCAAGTCAGAAAGTGAGAAGGTGGGGGTGACGGCTGTGTGGCTGTGTAGTTTCCCCACCCCAGGATCGGTCTCGTGCAGAGGCCGTGTGGAAGCCACTGTGAGAAGCACCGTCTGGGCCCCCGCAGGTGCCTGAGACCCTGCTAGCGACATTGGAGACATCACATATCACTGAGTGCTAATTCTAGATCCCCCTGCCCAGAGGAGTTTCTCAGAGGCAAAATCGAGAGGGTGCCCTGAGTTTCTGGATGCCTGTTCTAAGGAGGAAAACAGAACATGGTACCTGAAAGAAAAGACCTAACTACCCAGAACACAGGGTGTGGGGTGCAGCCGGCATGGCAGCTCTGCCTGGAGCTGTGGGGCTGAAGACAGTGGGGAGTTGATCCTTAAATCGTGTACAACCCCTGGTGGGCACCTGACCAACACCTCATTCCATTGACTTAAAGTTGCTATTTTTATGTTTACACATTCTCAAAGTAAGAATGCGTCTTGGGTTGCGAGGGTGGGGCCTTGGCTTTCCTTGCGGTGCGCGGACTTCCGCCCACCTTCCCACGGGGCCTAACCACTGAGACATCTCGTGCGCGGGGGCGGCCGGGCCGTGGCCTCTCCAGCCTTGGTGCGGGGCCACGGGGACATTCTCAGGCCTGCCCGGCGGCTGTAGGCGGCAGGCGGCAGGGAGCCAGACCCCGGGCCCCCTGCCCTGGCGGCTCCAGCTGACTCCCCCTCCCCTCGCCCTCTTCCCCCGCCCCCTCCCCCCGCCTTGCAGGTGCAGCCGCGGCCGCCATGGGCAAGCAGAACAGCAAGCTGCGGCCCGAGGTGCTGCAGGACCTGCGGGAGAATACGGAGTTCACAGACCACGAGCTGCAGGAGTGGTACAAGGGCTTCCTCAAGGACTGCCCCACCGGCCACCTGACCGTGGACGAGTTCAAGAAGATCTATGCCAACTTCTTCCCCTACGGCGATGCCTCCAAGTTCGCCGAGCACGTCTTCCGCACCTTCGACACCAACGGCGACGGCACCATCGACTTCCGGGAGTTCATCATCGCGCTGAGTGTGACCTCCCGGGGCAAGCTGGAGCAGAAGCTCAAGTGGGCCTTCAGCATGTACGACCTGGACGGCAACGGCTACATCAGCCGCAGCGAGATGCTTGAGATTGTGCAGGTAGGCCCTCGGTGGGCTGCTGGGCAGAGGCGGCCAGAGGCCTCGGGTCCCCCGCGGGTCCCACCGAGGTCTGGGCCCAGCCCAGGCCAGACAGCGACCTCTGCGCTCAGCACGGCATTTGGTCATTCCCAGCCAGGTCGCCCCAGCCCCTCTCCCGCGCACATTTCGCAGTGATGCTAAGAGCCAATGCTCATCTGTCACTTGCAGCATGACCCTATGTGGGGTCATTCTCTGAATTCCACAAAATCTGAGGCTCAAAGAGGTGATTTCCTAAGAGTTAACAGATCTGAGAATTATAATTGAGAGGACCCCTGACACTTGCAGAAAATACCTGCCATGGCCTTTTTGAGTCCCCAAATTTGGGAATGCAACAGCTTGTCACATCCCCAGGAAGATGAAGGTATAAAGTAAAACATGTTAGTGATCACAGAAAAGTGGTTCTGTGGTTCCTATCAGAGCGAATCACTTGATGAGACCTCTTTTCTTTGCCTTTGTTCCTGTCCACAGCTCTGACTGGTAGATGAGGCTATTTTCCAGAAAGAAACCGAGTTTAGTTCACTTCACCAGTGCCAGGCTGCATGGCCCAGTCCCAGGACAAAGCACGCCCTGCACGGATAGGCCCTGAAACTCACACTGTTGCGAGGCTGAAGGGAGGTGGAGCCAGGCCTGGCCAGCGCCCCTTCTGCAAACGGGGAAGGGGTGGGAATGGGGAGACATAATAGGCAATGGGACCCTCACACGGGATCATTCTTACTTTTTAATGCCCTGCTTTTAAGGTTAGACCCCTGCTGTTCTTAGTCTGTTGTTTCAGGAATGAGAATATCAGTCAAACCTTTTCTGCACAGCATCTCGTGAAAGAGGCACTGCCCCTGCTCCCTTACCAATGACTCTGATGTGAGGCTGGTCATTGGCCTCATCACAGCCCCTCAGCAAACGCATGTTCACCCACCACTGCTTGGGGGCTCCTGCCTGGGTGAGGCCCCTCGGACGGAGACTCTCAGGGATGGCCCGAGGTGTGTTGAGCCCTTAGATGGCAGTGCCCTAAGGAGAAGGTTCTCCCTCCTGCTGGAGAGACCTGTGCCAACCTGGTGACCCTTCTGGGGCTGGTTATATGGTTCCTGTGGGGTGCAACAGTTAAGTCTTTTCTTTTTAACAACTACATAGTAACATGCTCACAGCTCAGCGTGCAGTGTGATGGGCTGTACCGGTGTGCCTGAGTCACCACCCTGTTGAGTTAAGGATCATTCCCACCCCCAGGAGGCTCCCTCACGTGCCTCCGGGGCATGGCCCACATCCCACTCCATCTTTGACCGTCACAGTGGAGTCATTTTGCCTGCTCTTGAGTGTCACGTGTGTGTCTGGCTTCCTTTGCCTACATGCCATCTGTAATACCCACCAGCATTATTCTTCTAGTAGCAGGGAACATGCGTCTGGCTGGGGAAGGGTCCTGAAGGCTAGTGAGCATCTCAACCTCTCCGCGCCTTGCCGTGGGCAGGGCAGAAGCTCACAGCTGTCACATCTGCCCAGGAACATCCCAGAATTTCTGAGCCCCTGCTTCTGTGCCCCCTTTGTAGGCTATATACAAAATGGTATCCTCTGTAATGAAAATGCCCGAGGATGAGTCAACCCCGGAGAAACGAACTGACAAGATCTTCAGGCAGATGGACACCAACAATGACGGTAGGGGTGGGGGCGTGGCCCCCGCATGCTTGGGACACTTCCCTCCCCCTCTGCAGCCTCTCCCCAGTGCACCCTGGCCTTGCCTGGCCACTGCAGCTGTGCTGAGGGTAGGGCCAGCATGCAGAGCCCAGGGAACCTGGATGTGCATTCTGGCTGGTGCACGCAGCGAGTCCTGCCCGGAGCTGTAGTCTCCTGGGCTCTAGAAGTGGAGACGTGAGCCCTGCGGGCATGTGTTAGGGAGAGGAGGCAGGTGTGCTGATGGCACCAGGGCCCTGGAGGGCGTTGAGTCCAAGGGTCCTAGGCTGTGGGCACCTGGGAAGCAGGTTACGCTTCATTCACGTCATCCTGAGATGGGGGGTGCCCTGGCACCCCAGTGCCCACAGGGGCTCTGTTGGGATGCACTGGGCTGCAGCAACTATGCCAGGGCCTCTGGGGCAGAGGTGGCAGGTCCTGGGGGGCAGCAGTGGCTGCAGTACTGTGAGGACTTGTCCGGTTTCCTGCTCTGCATTAGCTGTGAGATCCTGCAGGAGCCATACTTCTTGTAGCTCTGTCGAGTGCAGTCCCGGAGTCAGGTTTGAACAATAAAGAAATAGGACATTTAGACAAGAAAAGATATCACCCCCCGGGTTGTGCTGGAGATTAAAAATAGACTAATGCACAAGAAAGTGCTCTGAAAACTCTCAAGTGCTGTAGCACAGATGAGTTAAAGGCCTGAGCCTGCAGGGGGTGGGGGCTGCAGTGTAACCACAGGCCTGCTTTGAAACAGCACAACAGTTTACAAAACACATTCACGCTTTTGTAAAGCAAGACAAGCTCTCGCCTGGCACTGCCTTTGCACTGATTTTAAAACATGTCTTTTACACTCCAGGGTAGTAAACGCAGGCTTTGAATTCTGACAGATCTGCCCTGATTCTTGGCTCCGCTGAGCCCCAGTTTACTCCTCTGTGAAATGGGGATGATAAATTCAGTGTCATGTGGCTATGAGGATTCAACGAGATGATTTCCAGAAAGCTCTTAGCACAGCGCTGGGCACTCCACCCCGACCCTCCTCTGCCCTGACCTGCTGGGCCGCCCTGTGCGCCCTCCCCGGTGGTTTGTGAGCTTGAGTCTGCACCCCCTGGGACAGTGCGCTTGTCCTGTGAGCCCTGGGGTCCATCTGTCCCTAGAGTTCAGGGAAGGGAAGGATATTGGAGAAGAGAAGGGTGAAGGCAGGGCGTGGTCAAGGGCAGGGCCCTCATCCTTGTCAGAGCACCGCTCAGGAGTGGGCTGGCCCCACACTTTGTCCCCTGCCACCCTAGGAAAGCTTGGGGCTCTGCCTGTAGTGTCAGGTGGCTGAACGGCTTTCTCAGGCGCACCATTTCCTAGTACCTCTTGGCATGTGGGCTGAGCCTGGCCAAGCGCCAGGAGCACCCTGACTTTTGCGCTGATTTTAAAACATGTCTTTTACACTCCAGGGTAGTTTTGTTTGTTTTTTTCAGCTTTAACACTGATATTTATTGTAAACCCTTCTCCAATTTCTCAGGGAACTTGAGCTAGCTGTACCTTTGCTGTCATGTGCATGTGCAGGACTGAGCACTCACATCCTCACACTCCTTGTACAAGATATTCCCATTTGCCTCAATCAGAAGGATGCTAATGGGAACATACTTATAAGGGACACAGCACCGAGGCTGGAGGGTGGAGGAGTGACCAGTGAAAGTCCCCAGCACCTGTAAGGAGAGTAACAAAGCCCAGTAGCCCCTCTGCATACTCAAGGGGTTCCTCTACTGAGGGCATGGCTGTCCCCACCCTTCTCAGCCCCTCCCTTAGCCTGGGCATCTCCTATGGGGCAGCCTGCCTGCCCCCTATGGGGACCCACGGAGGGGTGCCCCTCTGGCCGTGGGCCGGCGGAAGGTCCCTAGCCCACAGGTGTGTCCTGTGCAGGGTGTGCAGCCCACTAACAGAGTGCATCCTCTGGTCCAGGCCTTGGCTGAAGCCCTCAGATGCATCCTCCCCATTAGTCGTCCCAGCAGCCCTTTGAGATGGGTCCCACCTGAACACCTGGAGACCCTAAGACACGGAGAGGTTGGTAGCTTGCCCATGGCAGCAGAGCTGCGAGCCCTTCACAGGCTCTTCCCTCGGTGTGCTGGGCACAGCCACTGGCTGCCGTGCTCCCTTCCTGTGTGGTGAATGTCACTGTTCTCTTCTCCACTGCGGAGCCTCAAAGGCAGAGGTGAGGTGAGAAGCAGGCTTCCCCAGGCACAAGGCGCCAGCACAGAGCCTGCTTCCAGCTTATTCCTTCCCCGGGTCTGCATCCTGGCAGGGGGTTGCCAGGCAGGGCACATGTCTGTCACTGGCATCGCCTGCTCTGAACTCATATTCTATAGCACGTTAATTATAAAGCCACTTTCCTATCTTTGTCCTACAACCAACCGGTGCAGGAGGGACAGAGGATGAGGGTGGCCCCAGCTGGACCCTTAGCCCTTAGCCGTCTCTCTTTGATCCTTCCAACCACTCTAAGAGGCAGATGCCACAGAAGGCGAGTCCCCAGACTGAGCAGCAAGGCTGTGCCACTGGCATTGGAGATAGCCAGGCTGGGCAGGCAGGAAACCAGGCCCGGGACAGGGACTCTGGGGGCCCTGACTGCCCCGGGCCCCCTGCCCAGCCATGGCCCACTCACCCTGGGTAAGTCATGGATTAGAGGCAGAGCCCACATTCTTTCTGGACAAGTCACATCCTTCCTAAGTAAAGCGTGTGGCAATTCCTAGGAGGATTAAATCAGCCCAGCAGCCGCAGCTACTTCCTCACCGGGTATGTCCTTTGAGTTGCCTGATGCTTTGCTGTGAGCAGTGAAAGCAAAAAGCATTTTTCTGGAAGTGCCCGTGAAGTGAGTGGGGCCTAGACAGTGTCCGGCCCCAGGAAGGCTGGACTTGGACCAAAGGGGGTGTCCCTGCCTTGGGGGCATCCCCGTGCTCTCAGGAAGGGCACAGAATGTGCACGTTGGCTGACTCCCGTTTCTCCTGTCCTCCATCCTGCAGGCAAACTGTCCCTGGAAGAATTCATTAAAGGCGCCAAGAGTGACCCGTCCATTGTCCGTTTGTTGCAGTGCGACCCCAGCAGCGCGAGTCAGTTCTAAGGGGCTGGGCGTCTGGACAGCCGTGAGGAACATGGGTTCGTCTCGCCGTTTCAGCTTTGCTTGCAGAAGTGGATGCCTCCCCAGTCATTCCTGCTCTCTGGGCCCCATGACCCGTGCACCTGCCCAGCTGGCGGCTGTGCCTCCCTCCTCTGGCCTCTTCCTGCCCCTCCCGGTCCCTCCCAGGGGGGTGTTCACATGCAGAGCACACAGCGTTCTCACTTCCAGGGCACCTCTGTCCGGGGGAGCTCAGAGGACAGTGCCGAGGTTACTGGGGGGACTGTCTGGATCGCGCCAAGGCCAGCTAATTTATCCTGTGGTCGCAGGTGGCTGTGGGGAAGGTGGGGACAAGAATGGAGGGAGTGTAGACAGGCAAACCCTCCCCATGCATGGTTCCACCACGCTTGTTCATCCTCTGACCAAAGCCGCTTGCACGTATATATACTGTGGTCTCCTTTCTATTAATATATAAATTATACATATGGTGAAGTGAACTGTAATGTGTAGGTCCCGTATTTAATGCCTCGATTGCCTTTGAAGCGTGGTTCCCTGTGGCCTGTGATCCCTCGAGCCTGGTTATCTTGTGGTATTTATGTGCTCAGTCTGCCTGTTTCAAGAGGGAATGCATGCCTGCCCAGAGCCGTCCATGCTGTGAATGCAGGCATCCATGCAAGGTCTGTCATCCCTGTTGGCATTTCCTGTATTAAAATGATGAAGTAAATGAAATTCTCACTGAGTTTTATGTTGGCCCATGTGAGCCCCACTTGGTCCCCCATGGTCCTCAGCACTCAGGGAAGGTGGATTTGGGGGGTCCGGCTGCTGCTTGTAAATAGCCCCTCCTGCCTCCCTGTAGCCATCACTGTGTCTATGAATCTCATGCAGCCTTTTCTCCAGTGTCTGCCTAATGCCAAGAAATATTTGTGGAAATAAAAGATGACTGTTCTTGGCAGCTTTGACCATCGCGCGTCTGCCGGTGCCCCCGACCCCCAGTTTAATCACCAAGGAAGCCAGACAGCACATACCAAGCCGGGACACTGGAGCCCGTGGATCAGCACCTGGCTTCTCAGCCTGTGGCCATCCGGGTGCTTCTGGTGCCAGCAGCTGCAGAAGGGGCTTCACCCATACGGGTGTTTGGCTCATGTGCCGGGGAGTCTGAAAGCACATTGCAGGCATGGCTAATACGGCAGCTGAAGAGTATCACTGAGGACCTACTGAGGACCCCGGGTTCCTCCGCCTTCCCCACTGCCTTGCCCACAGCCTCATACTCAGCTTTTCTCCTCACACTTGTCTCCTGGGGTCCCCAAAGGGCTGCTGCCATGCTGGGCAGTATGGCTGACACAGAGCATTGCACGGGCAGGAAGAGAAACAGGCCAGCCTTCTGCTCTTTCTTGACTCCCTGCCACCCCCCATCCCTCACCTCTCATTGGCCAAAACCCAGGCCACTGCCTTGGCTGAGAGTGTGGGGTGACTGTGACAGGCCAAAGTGTCCCCTTGGCGGAGGAGGGCCCGCCTCCCTCCAAGGGCATGGTACTGGGAGGGGGCCGAAGGGATTGGGGTGTGCTTCCAGGATGGGCACGAACCGTGTCTCAGACCTGCCCACGGGCCCTGGGAACTCAGTCTGTCTTCACCTGTTTCCAGCACGTGATGGGCAGGCAGGTGATCAAGGCAAGTGGGCGAAGCATGTAGCTCCAAGCCAGCTCGCTGGCTGTCAGGAACTGCTGCTCTTTTGCTGGTCTTTTAGTAATTTAGTTTCTTTTTGGACTCCGTGCCTCTGAATGGAAACGAGGAGCTCACCTGTGTGTGCCTCCCGAGCCAGTGGCATTATCAGAGGCCAGTTCATGGTGAAGCCCCCCATGTGCCCACAGCCACAGGTACCTTGATGGGCAGCGCCACCCAGGTGGGCTGGGTCTGACTTGCTACAGAGTGTCAGGTGCTGCCTGGAGGACTCTCCCTCCCAGGGAGGGGCTTGAATCTTACACCAGTGTAGCTGGAACTGGCAGAGGTTAAACCCGTAGCGCTGCTGGGGAGCGCTGCCGTATAGCAAAGGGGGGCGTTGCCCTTAAACACAGGTGGGAATGGCTGCTGTATGAGACGCAGAACCCATAGGAGATGATTGATAGATAGATGAGAGAGAGAAGGGAGGTAGAGGACAGACAGATACAGAGAGGAGGAGATCGATTACAAGGACCTGGCTCATGTGGGGGCTGAATGGTCCCAAGATCTACAAACTGGAGGTCCGGGAGGGCTGATAGCCTAAGTTCAGGCTGGGTTGAAGGCAGGAGACCAACATCCCAGCTCAAGACCGTAAGACTAAGAGCGAAACCTTCCTTAGCTTTTGCTCTACTCAGCGCCTCCGTGAACCGGGTGAGGCCCACCTCACTGGAGGCCAAATCTGCTTTACTCAGTCTGCTAATTCAAATATTAATCTCATCCAGAAACACCCTCACAGACACGCCCAGAATAATGCTAACCAAGTATCTGGGCACCTGTATCCAGTCAAATTGACCCTTAAAGTTAACCATAAGCAGCTTCTGCCCAAATACGGACGATGTAGATCTGGGTCTCCTAGCGGACAGGAGCTCACAGAAGTCAGAGAGCTTCAGGGGGTCCACTGATGCCTAGAAGGAAGAGCAAGCAGCCTCAAATATGGTGTCCATAAGCCAGGAAGCCCGGCTCACTAGAGGGGCACAGACCCCAGCATTGGACTCAGCTGAATGGTCCAAGCCACCTCCCTGGCAGGAATCCTAAATTGTGGAGCAAGCTCTTCCAGAGCTGGTGGGAAGTCCCTCTTCCTGCCCCTCCTTGGTAATTTGCAATGTAGGCCTGGGCCTGCCCCCTCTTCCTTGTACCCCCATCCTCCTACAAGAGTATCATCCTGCCTTCTCTTTGCCCCAGGGGAACCCAGGCCTTCTGCCATCCTGCACGGGCACCCCAATTTGGTTAAAGTTTCTTGGAGTGTCCTGTGTATCCCTCAGACTCTAGACAGCAGATCTAATAATGTGTGTGTCTAAAGCAGGGCTTCAGGAAAGATGACCCTGGTTTAGTTTGCATTTCTCATGACTGTGCCCAGGAGCCCTGCGGTCCTGCCCGGGAAACAGGATCTGAACGAGGGGTGTGGCCCAGCCCTTCTTCCTGCAAGTGAACCGAGCCCCCTGTCCTGGAATGGTGGCTCCATGGACCCTTCCAGCTGTTCTGACACCCATGCTCAGAAAACACAGCAATAGGAACAACTTCCAAAACATGAAAATGTTTAGAATCCAAGAAAGGAGGCTCCGGGTTGTGAAGGGGAGAGTGCGAGAGAGGATATTATATCCAAGAGGCCAGGATCAACCCCCATGAGGGCAGGGCTGTCACCTCCCGTACTGTGGGCCCTGGACCTTCATTAATGCAGCCCCCAGCATTTTCTGTTTGGGTAGGGTGGCCTCCCCTGTAGAAGCCAGTGTGAAGCCAGCATAAAATTCACCTCCATTTGTTAAGGGCTTCTTGGGACAAATTGCTGAACACTTTAAATGTGTGGTGTAATCTAAACATGCCATCAACCTACATTGTAGTAGTACTACTCAGATGGACAAACTGGGGTTTAGGGAAGGAACTGGCCCCAGGTCCTTAGCAAGGGGCAGCAGATTGAGGATTTGAGTCCAGGATAAGCTCCAAGGCCCTGTGGTGCATCTTCTCCCAATTACAGAGTGGCCTTTATTCTGTAGCTGGCCCTAGACCCGAGATCCACGCTTCCTTGTCAGCCCTCTGCAGCCAACCGCAGGCTCCCAAGAGTCTGGGGAAATGAAGGAGCTTGTCCCTGGGTCCCTCAGCAAGTCTTTGAGGAGCCCGCGTTTTGGCACCGAGGCCTTGATCCCCAGACCCGGTCACCTGGAAGGCTACTTACCTCCCCATGATCAGCCAAGGTGCGTCCTCCAGAGGGGTGAGGCCGCAGCTGTGCCCACAGGCCTCTTCTCTTCTCGGGGCCAGGCTCTGGGCGCTGGCTGGTTGCCGGGAGGCAGGGCCATCGGCTTTGCTCCCCCTCCTCCGAGGCTGGGGTGGGCCTGAGCCGGACTGCTGACGCTGGGCTTCTGGTCAGGGTCACAGCTTGAGGAGGATCACACAAGTCATTGGGGCTTCAGACCCAGGAAAAGTGTTGGGGAAAACGAGCATTTTCCCTATGAGTTCATCCGTTCCCCAAGGTGTCCTGGAGCCGCACTGCCCCAGGCTGGAGACAGCTATGAACTAAGTCTATTCTACCTGGAGGAGCTCGCTGGCCAGAGCAGAGACTTAGGCATCCAGGAGGAGAGAGGCCAGCTCAGGCCTGGGCCTGACTGCCTTTAGGGGAACATGCAAATGGGCCGCTGTGGGACAGCGGGTAGGGTGTGGTCAGCAAGGCAAATAGCCTTGTTCTAGTCCCGGCCTGGCCCTGTACTAGCCACCAGCCTTGGGCTATCCTGATGGCCACAGCATCCCAGTGGCCTGACGTGCTGGTTCTGGGATCTGGTTTCCTGTTGGCTGTGATAGGCCAGGCCTGGCGTGGGACAGGTGGAAGTGGGGTCCTCGATGCCTGGATGCTGTGGGCAGAGCAGGGCCTGGGGCCTCAGCCAGTCTCCCTCAGGCTGGGTGCAGCCCAGAGGCCCGTAGGGAATCCGAGTCCCCCTTGCTGGCCTGCGGGACACCCAGAATGCTTCTTAGAGGAGGAATAGGAGATACTGGAGACGCAGGGCACAGGAACACTGTGGGCCTGGGCCTAGAGGGCAGGGTGTTTACCAAACAAACATCCCCCAGGGTGAGTGTGGGGCATAGCCACGCAGGGCACTGCCCAGGGCTGGGGTCCAGAGGAGCCACAGGGTGAGCAGGGCGCCAGAGAAGTGCAGTCTGACTGGCACAGGGTCCTAGTGAAGAAGGGCAGCTGTCCCTGGAGGGTAGAAAAACACCCCCACCCCCATCACCTGTGGGCTCTTTCCAGCAGTTTCCAGGACTGCACTGGTGGAGGGGGGCCTCCCTGGGGCTCAGACCTGAAGAGAGCCACCTCTAGGAACTTCCAGGCCATGTGACTCCTGCAGTTCGAAGTGGCACATTGGGCCCCACCTGGCCGGGTCTGGAGAGAGAGCTGTTCTGTCCTGCCTGTGCGCTGAGAGTGCCACAG